ATTAAACTGCTCTATTGGCCATCCTTTTCTATCTTGTTGGTCTGGGCAGGTGTGTTAAAGTCTTCCAGGCCCTTTCAGTTACAAGAATGGTCTTATTTCAACAAAACATGTGGTCTGGTATGTTAATCAAAACTTCAATTCATTTCAAACAAGATGAGTACTTCTGCCCTCACCTGGCCTATTTCAAGTCCAGAAGCTGCATGGGAAGCCCCATCTGCTCTCTCCACCACTTTTTCCACTTGCTGGCCATGGCTTTGGACCCTTGGGTTGAGACCCAGGGGAAAGAGCCAAGTCTGCCAAAATGATGCAGGTGGAACCTGACCTGAGCTCCTTTTGGATGTGACATCAGGACAGTGGACAGGGGCGATTTTTGAAGATCTCTCTGCAGGGCATTTCAGGCCAGCTCCCCTGACCCAGGCAAGGTCTATCCTCCTGTGAGTCACTCATAACTCCACCAAGCCCCACGCTGTCAGGGGCCCATTTCACCCAGACCTTTTTGATGGGGTTGTCCTCTTGGCAAGAAACAAGACCCCTCACTCCCGGTTCCTGCAGATCCACCTGGATCACAGTGTTCCGTAGTGGTCCCTGGGCATCCACCTCTCTTCCCTTTGCCTCCCAAACCCTTTTCACATTTACACAGGTCAGGCTAGCTGGGTGGTTTCCTTGAAGCATTTCTCCTGTAGCTTGATGTAAGAGGGAGGTATCTCTTCCCCATCCCCATGGTGGGAGGGAAATGACACAGACAACTCTTTCTGGAAATCACCCTCTCTGACGGCTCCTGCTTCAGTGTCCTACAGGTGGATGATCACAACTGCTGGCAGAATTCAAGAGTTTATCACTAGTTCTGCTGAGGTGGTCCAGAAACACCCTTCAGAACCATATAGGCTTTTGCCACCTATTGCACCTCCTTCTGAACCTTTGGTCCCTGCCAGCAAGTCTGAGGCGATGAGAAGAATTAGATTTAACAACCTGTCACACAAGTAATGACAGTAAGTGTGACGTTGAAAGCAGCCATCTTTGTCATAACCGGAAGCTTGCTGAGTTCAGAGTCCACATGGACCTTGCTCACTCACACCCTTCCCAGCACTCAGTGCTTATTAGAGGTGCTCAGTTCTTATTAGTGGATGAGGGAAGTGAGAATACAGAAAAGGGAATAGCGAGTTTCTCCTCCATAAATTCCTTTGGAAAAGAGATTTTTTATGTAAGTGGGTCATTCTTGTCTGATGTCATGCTTTACAAGCATTCTCCCAAGCCCATGATGAACAAAATGTATGACTGCTGCCTTCTTGGCCACTTGTCATTCAGACAGTGCCCAGAGCTGGAGGAAGCCAGCAACCTGCAGAAAAAGCTACAAGCTCCTTCAGAGTCACTCCCTGGCCTACAAAACCCCTCAAGTAGGTGGTCAGAGCATCTCTTCAGAATGGGAGACCAAAGAGGCAACTCAAGAATGTAAAAATTGCTACAGATTGTACACACAAGACCTGTGCCATGGTTCTGAGCGACTGTAGCCTGCCTGGAGGCCCCTCACCCATCTGTCCAGAGAAGACAAAAGCAACCACAGGAACATCTGATTAAAATCTCTGTGGGCTCTAACACCTGCAGAGAGCTGGAAATTGTGCAATTGCCACACGAGGCATCCCAGCAGAAAGAGCTGGAGAAGTGTGTGTGAGCCTCATGAAAACATTTATTCCATTATGGATGTCTCTGCTTGGCCTGGCTTCCAGGTCCATTTGTGGTTACAGTCTGTTGTGGCTGACTTTGGAAACTTTATAAAGGCCAGAGAATGAACTCCTGGAGAGAATGAACAAGAGCAGTGTTGAAATGTAAACTCCATTTGACAACTATTTACCAGGCATCTGCCACATGCCCAGTAATGCAGAACTAGGAGGAAGGATATACGATGATGAATGAGTGAGAGAAGAATGTCCGCGAGGCATGCTCATGGGCTAGTAGCAGGGAGATGAAAAGTGCTTCTCTCCTGTCCTTAAATGGAAGACATATCTACACGGCACTTTATGCTTAATTCAACACTGTCTTTAATTTTCATCACACCCCTGGGGGAGGTGAAGCAGGGATGGCTGTTCTCATTTTCAAAAGAGAAAATTCACATCCAGAGAGGCCAGGAGACCAGCTTGGGGTCCGAAGGGAGAGGGAGGCAGAGTTGCAGTAAGAACACGGGGACCCCTGACTCTGGGATGCTCTTCTGTGGATCCAGACAAGGCATGTGGGACCACAATGGTGAGCTTGCTTGAGGTCTGCGAGGTCAGAGCCCACACTTACATCTCCCCCTGAGCAGAAATGGCTCGCCTGTTGTCCACGGTCAGTCAGAGGAGGAGGTAGGCACACCATGGAGCCTCCAGAAGCAGGAGCCAAGAGCCACTTACACTCACCAAGCTAGTACCAACAGCCTGCCTTGATTTGCTCAAACTGTGCACTTTGGAGGCCCAGAAACTACCAGGAAGACAGAAGTGACCCCATAAAGGGAAGAAAGGAAACCTGGACTCTCAAGTCAGTAGAAATGGAGTTGTCAATAAGCTGAATTGCAACAGAAATATCCTGCTTGTTGTCATGTACTTAGACAGGAAGTGCCGCAGTCTGGCTGGGCACAGATCACGAGCCACTGAAGCAGGAACAAACTTTATTTCTGAACTCCACCAGCACACTCCACACATGCTCCCGGGAATTCCCCGCAAATGCCATGTGGCTCCCCCAGGAACCAGCAACCGGAAAAATCCCTCCTCTGGCACTTTCCCAACCAATGGGAACTCTCCGGGAATCCCGCGAGAGCTCAAGCGGAACTCAATGGGAACTCCACCAGAACTCAAAAGTCATCATCTTAATGGCTCACTAGCGTCACCTCTCAACCACTCCTTCTGGCAAAAATGCCATGTGTCATCCCGCAACAAGGAAGGATGATTGAGAATTCATGGGAAAGGAAGGTGACAGGAGGTGGATGTGCTGAGTTCAGACTAGGGCATGGGAACCAATCATAGATAAAGTCCCTCATCTGCATGAGAGAAGGTATCAAGACAAATGAGCTCATGGTGAGGATGCTCCCAGGCACCTCAGTCAACTGGAGAGCCAGGGTCTGTGTTTTATGCAGTGGTCGTGTCAGAAGGAAAGACTGAAAACACTTGAGCGATCTCTACCTCTGACATGACACCATTCACATATGCCCATGACCTGAGACAGAGGAACCGGCATCCCCGTGTGGCCCCTGGGATCCGAGGCGGAAGAGCTTGTCCGTGCACTAGCACAGCTGTTGTCATTTTGGCCACAAACATTCCAGAACTTCTCTCCCCATCTGTGAATTCTCTGTACCAGAAATAAAATAATCCCAGCCTAGTGTCATTTGCTCTGTGGTACTTTTTGTAGCCAGTATAAAAGTTACATGTGAAATGTGAGGGATTCCTGCTTGAAATGATTAGATAAGGAGGACACTGGGGACTGAGAAAAGGACAGCAAGTCTAGAGAGTTCTTAAGGAAAGATCTGAAGAGAGGAGGGCAACTAAGACTAGGTACATCCAGACTCTGACCTCTATGGGTGACCAGGTGAGTCTTGGCATGAATTTGCCATGGGCCAAACTAAGGCCCAGGAAGAGAACCTGTTCAGCCTTGTAGATTGAAGCTACTTGGCATCCCAGAAGTCACCATGGGCCCCAGCAATTAGATGCCAAGACCCTGAGTTAAAAAGCCACCAAGGAATGGATGACAATCAGACAGGGCAGGACCCTCAGTATCATGATTTACCTGCAACCAGGCAACACAGATTTACAAATGGCTCCCTGAAATTACAGAGAAGAGAAGTTACGTATTTTTAATGAGCCTAAGGATGAGAGTTGAACCCAGGGGCAATTAACCACTGAACCACATTCCCAGCTCTTTTTAGTATTTTATTTAGAGACAGGGTCTCACTGAGTTGCTTAGTGCCTTGCTTTTGCTGCAGCTAGCTTTGAACTCTCAATCCTCCTGCCTCAACCTCCCAAGCTGCAGGGATTACAGGCATATGCCACTGGGCCTGGCTCTATTTTAAAGACACTTTATCAACTTATTGTTGCTGAGGCCCAAATTCCACTTTTCTCAGTAAATTCTGTGTCCCAGAATGAGCTTCCTGAGTGGACTGTCATTACCCACTGGGGCCTCTGAGAATACAGACCCAGGTACTGCTTCCCTCTTTCCCTCTTGGGTGTGACTCTCATTAGCTGACTCAGCTCATACATTCCACGGGTCTTGGTCTGAGTCGTGCGGGGCCCCATCCTCTCTTTCCCACTATGTCGTTGCAGATTGTCAGCCAGCCCCATGTCCAGGAGGACCTGCCCAGTGTTGGCAGTGAGTAAGAAATTCACTACGTGTGCCTCAAGCCAATGAGGGAGGAGGGGGGCTGGCTTTATTTTACAAAAGGGGTATAAATTCTACAAACCTGCATTGAAAACATAGACAAGTAAGTGGGTGTCCTATCAGTGTGGCAATTTAAAAGAGAGTACTAAGAACCAGAAGATCAAAGGACATGAGGCAAATATCTCTTGAATCAGGCTGATAAAACTCCCTGACCCGATGTCAGAGCCTCTCAGGCACCTAAGTGTCATCTACCTTAAGGGATACCTGTAGTTTACCTCCAGGTACCAGATGTTCCCCTCTGGGAGTGAGGGGCGGCATTGTAGCATGACTCCACTTATAGAGGAGACCCTGGGAAGGGTGTTCCCAGGTGGCCCAGTGCAGTGGACCTTCCATAGGTGGGGCACGGTGCGTGCTGTTGCCTGGGAGATGAGGGAAGAGGGGAGCCCTGCTTCACCCTGATTTGTAGAGATGGAACAGTAGATGTTGGCAAAAGATATGTCTGCTCCCATCCACACGTCGACCCTATTTCTTCCTTTCCTAGTTTCCAATTTTGAGGTTTCAAACTCTAACTGCAAAGAATCAAGAGATGATTTACATGTGAAAGGACTTAAAAATTTTAAGCATAAAGTTCTTGAGTGTCATTACCCAAACTCCCGAATTACCTGTGCATGCTTTGATACCCAGTGACGGAGGACATTCAGGACTCTGTTGGTGGCTGTTCTCCGTATGATAAACTCTTTGTCACATGTTCTCTCGGTGTTGTTAAACCCTGAGGAGGAAAAGAAGCACATGCTGTCATTAGAGCCAAGCCCCTGGGACTTGGAAAAGGTCACTTATTTTAGGACATTGGTTAATAAAACTACAAAGTGGTTCATCTTGGCAGAGAGGTGCAAGAGGCTCCAGACCCGTGAATTCTGCTCACCTATTATACTCTGAGTAGCACATCCACCGCTGCGGAGTCACAGGCGCAATTATGTGAATAATGTGCACCTATTTATTAAAGGCCACTGATGAAAGCTAATGCTGCTCTAATGACATTTCCATTTATGCCTGTCTTGTTCTATACTACAAAGCCAAGAAGGAATATTAACAAAAGACTTTGAGCCAGCATTAATTTGTACTTTTGCCCTAAAGCAATTACATAACCAATAACATTTTGCATACTTGTAGATGAAGAAATCCATATCTTGGCTTGTCAATGATGCAAATACTTTGTTGGGCAACCATATATTGATTGACAAGCCGTAGGGGACAGGGTTTAAGAACATGTATTTCCAAATGACTAAACATGTAGATTTCAAAAATCTGTGAGAGGTGATGAATCTGTTACTTTTGATTTAATCATTCCACAATATAAACATATACCAAAGCATCACATCATACCCCATAGATGTATAATATATACAACTATTGTTTTTCAATTAATAATAATGTAATTTCTTTTAAAAAGACAGGCTGTCTGGGTTCAAATCACTTTTTTCCACCCTAGCAAATTACATCATTTCTCTAGAGACCAGTTCTTCAAGACTCTCATGAGATTATAAGTACCCATTTCATGAATTGTAGTAGGATTATGTTTGGTAACACATGTTAAACATTTAGAATGGCAGTGGCAAGACTTAAGTAAATGCTAGCTATTATTACAATTCGATAATTGGTCCAGTGTCTTTTATTATTATTTTTTTGTGACACTATGGATGAAACCCAGTGCCTCAGATATGTTAGGCAAGTGCTCTACCATTGAGCTACCTCCACAGACCTGGTCCAGAGTCTGAGTCTTCTCTGTGCCAGCTTATGTCTCTATCTATCTTATGTCTCTATCTTTAATTATCAGGAAACCATTTTAATACTTACCCACTGACTCCCTATTTTAAAGATTCTGACATCCAGACATAATTATGTCATACAATTCCTTTAAAATTAATATTTCTGCTGGGCACCATGCTGCAGACCTATAACCTAGCAGCTCAGAAGGCTGAGACCAGAGGATCATGAATTTCGGGCCAGCCTCAGCAACTTAGTGAGACTCTGTCTCAAAGTAAAAAAAATTTTAAAAGGCTGGGGATGTGGCTCAGTGATTAAGTACCCCTGGGGTTAATCCTCAACACTGCAAATAATAATAATAAAGAGTTGTCTATACTCAGTGATAGTCACTGGGATTCTCCCTCTACAACTTACTCCAAGCATCTAACCCCATCTCACCACCAAGACAGCTCCCATTAAAGACATCAATAGACCTCCATGTCCCCATATCCAAGGGGTCATCTTTAATCTCTCCCTAGTTTCATCCTACTTATACAGTCACCTTTAAGCAAGTTGCTCACATATCCCCATGTCTCTTCTCTGAGTTCCAGACCCTATATCCAATTCCTCTTGATACTTTCCCTCTTGGATGTTTCAAACACACCTCAAACTCCATATGTTCAAAAGGAAAAATCCATGGCCTTTCCACCAACTTTAAGCTCTTTATCTGGGTAAGGAAGCGCCACCATTCATCCAGTTAGCCTGAATTTTGTAATGTTTCTCCTCTCATCTCTCCATTGCTTCCTAATAATTTTACCTGTTCAGTACGTCTCAGATCTACCCATTCTTTTCCTATTTCCACAGTCAAAATCGGGGTTGTGCTACCAGCAGCAGTCATTTGTTCCTCTGTAATAGCACCCCAGCTGGTCTCCAATCTCACTCTTGCCTCCTCAAATCTGTTTTCCTCACTGGAGTCAGAAAGACCTTTTCAAAGGGCAAAGGCAATTATATAACCAATGGCATTTTGAATATTTGTAGATGGATGAGCCCATATCTTGGCTTGCAGAGGATACAAATACTTGATTGTGCATCCATATATGGACTAGCAGTATAGGGCAGTATTTAAGAATGTGTACTTCAAAATTACTAGAAGTACAGATTTCAAAGGATTCCAATCTTTAAGGCCTTTGAGTGTTTCTTATGATAAACACAAAACTCCTTAACACAGAAGGTCTTTCATGGTCTGGTCCTCTCTCTTCTCAGCTTTTCTGGAGCAATATTCTTCTATTTCCACATCCATCTCCCCACCCATATTTTAATTCAACATGACGAGAGGGCCTTTGTCCATATTGTCCTGTACCTGGAACAATTATTGAGTCCATTTTTACTCAGTGAAAGTCACTCAGTCTTGCTCCTTTTTACTTCCCCAGATAAGCCCTTCTGGGCCATTACATAGCTCATAATGTGATATACATTTGATTTTTGACATGTATGACATTAGTAGTTTTATACTTAGATATGTGATTATCTGATCAATATTTGTGTCCTCCATGAAGAAAGAGATCTGGTATGATTTTGCTGAGCAGAGCACGTGCCTGGCACATAGCAAATGCTGCACACAATATATATTTGCTAAAGGAACGAATAAAAGCCTGGATGGTAGGAACTTAATTTTATTCAATGAGACATGAATGTGAGGATGACTGAGTGAATGACTGAAAGAACAGTCCTCAGAGCTTATGCGTGGGACAGGAAAAAAAGTCTATAAGCTACTAAAGGGCAGAGGGCCCTTCTCTCCAGTGTTCTTCGAATGTAGACAGGCATCTTCTGCCCGCCCACCAGCAAGCTTTTAAGTTCTAGCAGAGAATGGTGATGATGTGCTCTTGGCAGGATAGATAGCTCTAAATTAAAATCTTTCTTTATTGAAAACTTAGAAATCCTAATAAAATATAAGAAATATTCTAAATGGAAAGCTGAGTTCTCAAGAAAGTAAGGGATTCTTCAGGGTCAAACACACAGTGTGATCTGGAAACCACGATGGCTGTTTGTCAGTTATGGTGACTTGGGATGGGAATTAAAACATCCATGTGGTCAGGGGAAGAAACCCCAGGATCTGCATGAGGAATAAGTAGCAGGATAAGAACTAAGACAGCCCCATAAAGATGAACTCTTGAAGAACTACCCTTGTTTGAAAGAGTGAACCAGGAAAAATTATTTTATTTATAAATGGGACAATTAAGAAACTTGTCTGGGCCTAGGGACGTAGTTCAGTGTGGGTCCCCACACCGCCACTCCCCAAAAAGAAAGCAACGTGTGGTGTGAGCCTTGCCTGGATTTCGGCAGGGATGGGGAAACGCCTCCCTGGGAACTCCTAACAGCAGGCACGCCACAGACAGGAGTGATGCTCATACTGAGGCACCACTGTGCAATTTGTCCTCCTGGATGAGAAGTCAACATGAAGGACCCAGCCCAGTGATTATCCTGGCGACCCCTACAATAGTCCTCACAACACCTCTCTGCAAAAACACGTGCTCAATCCCAGCCTGTACTGAATGGCCACCAGCCAAGAAGAAAAACTCCCAATCCAAAAAATTCCAAAACACAAAAACTATCTACCATGAGCAAGGATCAGTAGACACAGGGATCAGGAGCCCATCAATCCCCACCTGACTACCACCAAGAATTTCAAATATTGGAACTATTAGATCTCTCTAGTTTAAACATCCCAAAGTTGGGATGTTTACAAAGTCCAAAGAAACAAAAGTGGGAGTTGAAAGTATGACAAAAGAATTTTTAAAAATTTAAAATGTTTTATAAGAATAACATAAGCCAGGCATGGTAGTGCATACCTGTAATCCCAGCAGCTCAGAAGGCTGAGACAGAAGGATTGCAGGTTCAAAGCCAGTCTCAGCAACAGTGAGGCGCTAAGCAACTCAGTGAGACCCTGTCTCTAAGTAAAAATACAAAATAGGGCTGGGGATGTGGCTCAGTGGTTGAGTGCCCCCAAGTTCAATCCCCAGTACCCCCTGCCAAAAAAAGATATGAAAGAAATAATTAAAAATTTCAACTTATATCTAATAAGGTTGTCAGAAGGAGAGAAAAATAAACATAAACAGTATAAAAAAGGTTTTTCAAGACTTGGTGAAAGACATGGATCTTCAGGTGCAGGAATCACAATGAATCACAAACAGGAAAACAAAATGAAAACCACACCTAGACAACCTGAAATGTCAGCAACCCATAAAAAAAGGTAGCTTTGAAACAACCATTGAGAATGTACATGTTATCCCTAATGCAAAATCAGGGGATGGGGTTGGGCAATGGTGTGGTACATGGAGGGAGCATATTGCAAGGTGGGTTCGTTGAAGTAGAGCAGAGGCCTCAGGTGAAGAAAGCTGGTAACTGATAAGAAGCCCATATTTTGTTAAAGGAGGAAAGTAGAATGTTCTTTTTTTTTCATTTTTAATATTTATTTTTTAGTTCTCGGTGAACACAACATCTTTGTTGGTACGTGGTGCTGAGGATCGAACCTGGGCCGCACGCACTCCAGGCGAGCGCGCTACCAGTTGAGCCACATCCCCAGCCCAGTAGAATGTTCTTGAAACACTGAAAAGGTAGGTGAGCCAGAGGCCCCCTCCCCCACATAAATAAGTATGAAGATAGCTTCTCAGTGAGAAGAGAACAGAATGGGGGAGACGGGAGTGAGGAAGGAACAGAAAGATGGAAATCAGTCATCATGACATGTTAAGCAGGAAAATCATCTCAAGAGAGCTGTTACTTATTCAAATGTATTTTAGAAAAAGCAACTACCTCCTTTGGTCCTTCTGCATATGGATCATGGGTGGGTAGAGAAAGGGGCTTACTTTAAAAGGCGGGCAAACAAATAAAAGGAACTTTCTACCTGTCTCCAAATGATTTAATATCACAGGCTTAAAGACCGTGTAAAGGGTTTTCCTAATCAAGTTTCTAACATTTTCATAGATTCAAATCTTGACCTCAATTACCATTTAGGTTGGGATTTTGATT